AAGATCTTACTCAGTAGCTATTTTTTTGAGAGCCTCTCTTGGTAGATTTGAAGTGCTAAGTCCCACTTTTGCTTTGCATCCAAATAAGGCTTCGTATGGTGATTGTTGGATTCCTTGATGAAAAGAACGATTTTTCATAAATTGAATGAATTTGAGACTCTCAGCCCAATGAGCTGATTCATTTGTTTGCATCCATGTCATCATCATGTTTTGAACATCTTGGTTGGCACGTTCGACTGAACCTTGGCTTTGGCTATGCCTTGGTTTTCGTGAACTAGTCTAAGTTCAGGCCACATGTTCTTTAGTTCAGAAATAACTTGAATCACAAAGAACTGCTTAACAATACGTTACTCACAATGAAACCGCACCCTGAATAATGAAAACGCGATCACAACTTAGTCTAGATAGAACATTGGCCAGGACATCCCGGCCAATGCGCGCATTGGCCGGCCAATGTACAAAATACGCTGTCAAGTTTAAACACTTCGGACTTTGGCCAGTACGTCCCGGCCAGTGCGCGCATTGGTCAATGTACGAAATACGATCTTAGTTCTAAGTTCTTCGGGCTTTGGCCAAGAGAGTCGGCCAATCCACGCATTGGCCGGCCAATCCGGTGTTTGGCCGCACTTCGGGCTTTGACCGTAACATATATATATATATATATATATATATATATATATATATATATATATATATATATATATATATATATATATATATATATATATATGTATAGGCCTATATATATATATATATATATATATATATATATATATATATATATATATATATATATATATATATATGTATATGAACATATATAGTTAATATGCTATCATTTATAGGGGTAATTGAACAGAAGAACGTCATCCAATTATTATCCTCGCTAATATCGCGTTTGCATACCTTTTCCTTTTGATATTTGTACTTACGTAACTGTCCAGGTAAACTAAACAGCCGGGTCCGCGTGCCTAGTGGCCTAACACAAGTGCTAATAAATAAAATGTGCTTGGTTACTAGTTACATTATAAACTCGATATCTATAAATGTTTCCCTAGTTTCATTATATAATGCTGCGTAGGTTAGATTAGTTTGGACGTCGTGGCTTAAGCGGTAGAAGGCTAAGGCTGCTAACCTGAAAGTTTCGAGTTCGAATCCGGGTTTAAGTCAGTAGAACGTCCTTGAGTCCTCCCAGCTCTGATGGGTATCTAAATCACGTTAGTGAAAGTAAAGGCGGTTGGGCAAAGTGCTGACCACACATTTTCTTCAAGAAACATATGAACTCGACTTCACCTGATTAATTCATCGCTAGGCCCTAAAGAGAACTCTTTATTTTACTTTTATGTTTAGATTATATCTCTAGGTCCTGAAGAGGATTCTTTATAATACTTTTATGTTTAGATTATAAATGTCAAGATAATCCACTTTATTATTGTAAGGATTGCAATAGAATATTGCATGCCATTAAAATATCAACAACCCGTTTTACCTAGTTATTCGAGCGACCGAGTAATGGTGCCACAGTTCTACATTACATTGTATTTTGTATGCCCTTCTCTAAACTAGTGTGTGATATCTGATATCTTTTAGAGGCTTCACGCTTGGCTGACGATGAGAACTAAGTCACATTATATATATACATATAATGATATATATTTATATATATTATACAAAAGCGCGAGACAGTAGATTCACGCGAACTTTAGCTTCCTGCTAGGAACTGTCTTTCACATCTGGTTTATGGATATACATCGTTTTTTTCTACACTCTGTTTTTTCTACAATCTGTTTATTTGTGTGATGTCATAAAAGTCGATAAACAAAAGTTAGAATATCTACAGACAAATGGAGAAAGAATACAACATACGTTTTATTTATATTTACCTTCTGTTTACTCTGGCTGTAAGCGAAGCAAAAGCAGGTAGTTTTGTTTTCTTATTACTTCTATATTTAACAAGTAGTGGTAAAGTTTAGCAAAACCCTGAACTTTTTTTAGAAAGTAACGTAGCGATTTCTAGTTAGCAGGTAATTATACAATAACTACTGTTTTTGTACTTAATATAATTACATACAAATATATCTCAACTCTCTCTATCTTTCCCCCTCTCTCTCTCTCTCTGTATATATATATATATATATATATATATATATATATATATATATATATATATATAGTTTAAACTTACAAGGCCAATATAAAGGGCGGTAGATCTACTTGCTTTAATCTGCTACAAAAGTTGAATGAATAATTTTAAGGAGCACAACTATGATGTCGTAGGCTCATAAAACCTACACAGACTTATCAAATCTAGACGTAAACCTTTCGTAGACCTAGCAATGAGATCGTAGAATAAGACTCGTTTGCACAATTTTATACGAACCATACATACGTTACTGTTGTTTTGTAGTTTGTTCTTAGATGGGCAAAGGCTAAGGAAGCTTATCATACGTCGCATACCAGATGTTACAGGTAATACATAATTGTGTTAGAGGAAATCCCGTCCAACGTTAAAAATAAGAACGAGAAATACAAAACATCACGCATTGTTTATTATGACAGAAGGATTCTATATGTAAATAAAGCGACATAATTATGGATTGATAGTTTTTTGCTAAGATATCGGAGGCTCTCTGGCGTAGCAAGGTCGGTTGTCACCCGGTGTCAATGGTGTCACCCACTAACTCTAACAATTGTTAATTAAATTGCAAAAAATCATCGCTTTTGTAGTAAATTATAAAATTCGGTGTCATTCCCTCACCCCATGCGTAGATTGACATATAAGTTATTACGATTCTCAACATAACTTTTTTTTTCTCAGGCAAATTTTGCTACGTTTAATTGATGTAACTCCCCCACCCCAAACAACCCCCTCCCCCCCTCACGGTGATAACTTTAAACTGTGCTCAGTTAACACTAATTATGTTTATCTATAGTCGGTTATTAATACAGCTCAATATATCAAGTTTACGTCATGGTGTCACCCCCACACACCCCCACACACACCCACACACTCTTGTCCAGGCTCGACAATGTAACTATTGTTGAATCGAATTTCAAGTAAAAAAATTCTAACTTCCCTGCAATTTAAGACATAAAGAAACAGCGTGTAAAAAAAATTCTAACTACCCGCAACTTAAGACATAAAGACACGGCTTGTCACAAAAAAGTTCAATGTCAACATGAGAAATTGCTTCACACATTTTTCCCTCTTTCAATCTTATTGTTGTAACTGAACCGGTCACGCGTAACGGAATGACAAAACGTTGTCACAAGCCTCTCAGCATGGGGTCTAGCAGCCACGTAGACGACGTGAAAAAAGCACTTAAGCGATAAGTTAGTTTTAGCACAACGGCGCGATCTCGCCGCATGACATTATATGCATCATTGAACATGACCTTTGAACCAAAAAAGTAACAGTTTAAAATTCTTAAGTAAAAAATTGTCGAATCTTGACTGAGAATAAATACACTTTGAAATAAGACGCACTATATTCATAAATAAATGGGGGAAAGTAAATAAATAAATAAATTTTTTAAAAATATTAATAAATTAAAAAAAAAAAAAAAAATGTATATATATATATCTATATCTATATATATATATATATATATATATATATATATATATATATATATATATATATATATATATAATTCTCTTCTGGGAGACGCTAAAAAACAAGTTGTAAGCGAGCCTTGCAGTCCCCTCTCTTCTTCACTAGGCATAAATCAACCTCCCCCACCCGCACATGGTCTAGTGAGCTGTGGTTCACGCTAAATGTTTACAATCATAGAGCCGGGTTTAGTGACTCCTATTAGGGGCAGATAATTTAGTTTAAAACTATTTTAAACTTAGGGGAGGTAATTAAGAGGAGGCTGCTTTCACGTATGATACGTCGCGGGTCGGCTCGTATATTATATATATATATATAAATAAATATATATATATATATATATATATATATATATATATATATATATATATATATATATATATATATATATATATATATATATATATATATATATATATATATATATAATATACTAGCTACATACCCGTGCTTCTACGCGGTAAATCTTTTTTTAAATGTACCAACTTGGGAACAGAACAAAACTAAACACAACACAAACGAACGCAAAAAAAAACACAAACGAAAAAACAAACACAATACTCATAACATAAACACAATTTAAATGCAATCATAAAGGCATATTGCTCATAGTCTAGCCCGTAGCGCCAATTTGCGCCCTTTCCGAGCGCCGGCGGACACTCATGAAACAGTGAATGACTATAAAACACAGGCGTAGCGACACTTCCCGGCGCCCAGGGACAAACTTTCGATTTCCCACAGCCCCCCCCCCCCTCCAAACTTTCGATTTGCACCCCCCTCAAACTTTCGATTTGCACCCCTACTCAAACTTTCAATTTCCAGCCTATCCCCTCAAACTTTCGATTTGGACCCCCCTCAAACTTTTAATTTCCACCCCACCCTCTTAAAATTTCGATTTGCACCCCACCCCGTCAAACTTTCGATTTGCTGCACCCCCTCTCCCCCGCAAATTTTCATTTTGGCGCCCCCTATGGTCGGCGCCCGGGGACATATGTCCCCCCTCCCGCTCTTCCCCCCTCCCCCGCTACGCCTCTGCTATAAAACCTTCAACTTGTCCGCAAACTGAAAGATAGATGCAAATTATTCGTTCTGCAAAAGAGTAAAAACAGTAGCAACTATAATATAACTTTATGTCGTTATTTAAACAAACCCTACTCTATTACTTATAATACGATGAAGTGAAATGCACTGCATGGTGCGATGTTTATTTTTATGGTTCCAAAATCTATAAAAATCATCGTTCTTAAAAATAATTTAATATTTTTAAAATATATTCTGCTGATAAAAATATACTGTTGAGCATTAATGCATCACCACGTCTTGGACATTTAATGAAGTTAAGCACAATATACCAAATGCAACAATTCGTTTTTTCTAATTTTCTGAAATGGCTTTTTCAGCAACAATTGCGGAATCTTCAGCTTTAACAACAGAGGTTTATATACCTGAATCAACAAAAGTTCCCACATTCAGTACAGCAGAATCAAATGTGCCAACAATCGAAGTTCCCACATCCAGTACACCAGAATCAACTGTGCCAACATTAGAAGTTCCCACATCCAGTACACCAGATTCAACTGTGCCAACAACAATAAGTCCCACATCCGGTAAACCTGAATCAACTGTGTCAACAATAGAAGTAACCACATCTAGTACACCAGAATCAACTGTGCCAACAACAGAAGTTACCCCATCCAGTACACCTGAATCAACTGTGCCAACAACAAAAAGTCCCAGATCCAGTACGCCTGAATCAACTGTGTCAACAATAGAAGTTACCACATCCAGTACACCAGAATCAACAGTGCCAACAACAAAAAGTCCCACATCCAGTACACAAGAATCAACTGTGCCAACAACAGAAGTTACCACATCCATTACACTTGAATCTACTACAACAACAACAGAAGTTCCCACATACAGTACACCTGAATTAACCGCGCCAACAATAGAAGTTCCCACATCCACTACACCCGAATCAACTACGCCAACAACAGAAGTTACCACATCCATTACACCTGAATCAACTGTGCCAACAACAGAAGTTCACACATCTAGCACACCAGAATCAATTGTTCCATCAACAGAAGTTATCAGATCCAGTACACCTGAAACAAATGCGCAAACAACAGACGCTTCCACATCCAGTACACCTGAATCAACTGCGCCAACAACAGAAGTTCATACATCCAGTTCATCTCAATCAACTGTGCCAAGAACAGAAGTTCACACATCCAGTACACCTGAATCAACTGTGCCAACAACAAAAAGTCCCACATCCAGTACACCTGAATCAACTGTGCCAACAACAGAAGTTCAAACATCCATTACACTTGAATCAACTGCAAAAACAACAGAAGTTCCAACTTCCAGTACACCAGAATCAACTTTGCCAACAACAGAAGTTACCCCATCCAGTACACTTGAATCAACTGCAACAACAACAGAAGTTCCCACATACAGTACACCTGAATTAGCTGCGCCAACAATAGAAGTTCCCACATACACTTCAACTGAATCGACTACGCCAACAACAGAAGTTACCACATCCAGTACACCTGAATCAACTGTGCCAACAACAGAAGTTACCACATCCAGTACACCAGAATTAACTGTGCCAACAACAAAAAGTCCCACATCCAGTACACCTGAATCAACTGTGTCAACAATAGAAGTTACCGCATACAGTACACCAGAATCAACTGTGCCAACAACAGAAGTTCAAACATCCATTACACTTGAATCAACTGCAACAACAATAGAAGTTCCAACATACACTACACCTGAATCGACTACGCCAACAACAGAAGTTACCACATCCAGTACACAAAAATCAACTGTGCCAGCAACAGAACGTTTTACATCCAGTACAATAGAATCAATTGTGCCAACAACCGAAGTTCACACATCTAGCACACCAGAATCAATTGTGCCATCAACAGAAGTTATCAGATCTAGTACACCTGAATCAACTGCGCCAACAACAGAAGCTCCCACATCAAATACACCTGAATTAACTGCGCCAACAACAGAAGTTCACACATCCCGTACACCGGAAACAACTTTACCAGCAATTGAAGTTCCCACATCAAGTACACCAGAATCAACTGTGCCAACAACAATAAGTCCCATAACAAGTACACCTGAATCAACTGTGCCAACAACAAAAGTTCCCACATCCATTACCCTTGATTCAACTGCAACAACAACAGAAGTTCCTACATCCATTACACCTGAATCAACTACGCCAACAACAGAAGTTCCCACATCCACTACACCTGAATCAACTGCGCCAACAACAGAAGTTCCCATAAGCAGTACACCTGAATCAACTGTGCCAACAACAGAAGTACCCACATCCAGTACACCTGAATTACCTGCGCCAACAACAGAAGTGTACACAACCAGTCAAACTGAATCAACTGTGCCTACCAAAGAAGTCCCCACATACAGTATACCTGAATCAATTGTGCCATTAACAGTGGTTATCAGATCTAGTACACCTGAATCAACTGCGCCAACAACAGAAGTTCCCACATCCAGTAAACCTGAATTAACTGCGCCAACAACAGAAGTTCCCACATCCCGTACACCTGAAACAATTGTACCAGCAACTGAAGTTCCCACAATCACTACACTTGAACCAATTATGCCAACAACAGATGTTACCACATCCAGTACACCTGAATGGATTGAGCCAACAACAGAAGTGTACACAACCAGTCAAACTGAATCAACTGTACATACCAAAGAAGTTCCCACATCCACTACACCTGAATCAACTGTGTCAACAACAGAAGTTACCACATCCAGTACACAAAAATCAACTGTGCCAGCAACAGAACGTTTCACATCCAGTACACCAGAATCAACTGTGCCAACAACCGAAGTTCCGACATCCAGTACACCAGAATCAACTGTGCCAACAGCAGAAGTACCCACATTCATTACACCTGAATCAACTGTGCCAACAACAAAAGTTCCCACAACCAGTCAAACTGAATCAACTGTGCCTACCAATGAAGTTCCCACACACAGTAGACCTGAATTACCTGCGCCAACAACAGATGTTCCCATAACCAGTACACCTGAATCAACAGTGCCAAAAACAATAAGTCCCATAACCATTACACCTGAATCAACTGTGCCAACAACAAAAGTTCCCACATCTATTACATTTGAATCAACTGCAACAACAACAGAAGTTCCTACATCCACTACACCTGAATCAACTACGCCAACAACAGAAGTTCCAACATCCAGTAAACCTGAATCAACTGTGCCAACAACTAAAGTTCCCACAATCAATACACCTGAATCAACTGTGCCAATAACAGAAGTACCCACATCCAGTACACCTGAATTAACTACGCCATCAACAGAAGTGTACACAACCAGTCAAACTGAAACAACTGTGCCTACCAAAGTTGCCACATACAGTACACCTGAATCAATTGTGCCATCAACAGAAGTTATCAGATCCAGTACACATGAAGCAACTGCGTCAACAACAGAAGTTCCAATATCCCTGTGATGACGCAATGTTGCGTCGAAGCCAGGTAGATAGCAGAAATAGGCTTTAGCGTGTTAGTCAGAGGTAGACCAATGGAAATTCAGAGACTGACCGGTCACGTGGTATGGTCAGCTGGCCACTGAGGCGTGGGGCAGTAGAGCGATAGGCCAGAAGGGTTAGGTAGCGGTCAGAGACGGTCGAGAATGTAGATAGTTAGGTAGATCATGATTAGCTAGCGAGGTAGAAGGTGTTAGATTGTAAAATGTAGAATGTAGAGAACAGTTAGTGTTAGGATTGGTCATGGGAGTGCGTAGTTAGTGGTATAATGAACAGTCAGATAGAAGTAGTACAGTGTAGATCAGTTAGGTAGAAACTTGAACATATATATCATTTTAATAAAGAACAATTATAGTTGAACTTGAACTGTGTGTTATTGGATTCATTCGTGACGCCACCATAAAAATCTCCACCCTCACATCTGGTGGAGCGCGGGTCGAGGACAGGAAAGACAGTATATTGGTTACTCATGACGGAGTGTACTGGTGTACAGCTTTCTTAACTCAACACAACAGAGGGTTTCTTCAACCGGAACGAGTTTGGATTACCAACACAAGGGAACAGTCAACATGTCCAAAAAGATAAGTACCTTCCAAAATTTTTTTAAACGTTTGGGTTTAGACTTGTGCTGGATATTTGGTGCCAGCGATTTTTCTGCCTCTTTCTTATCTGTTTCTTCAACCACACTACCCTTAAAAATGCCTCCATTGTACGAAGTGGGCACTAAAACTGAGCTTAAGTCAGGCCTAGAAGAGTCAGGTAGAATTGATAACTCGTTACTAGATATAAATGTTCAGAATACAGTCAAAGTGAAAAGCAATTCAAGAACTATTGAGGATCCAGATATTCTGGATGAATTGATTATTAGGCTTGGACAATACACGACAACAGAAAATCGAGACTGGTTATTAACTGTTAAAGAATTTGACGCAAAAACTCTAGATGATCCAGATGCTATGGAAGATTTGATCAATAGAATTGTAGATTATAAGGTAACCGGAGATCCAGATTCCTTGTTGACTGAAGAAGAATATGATGCAAAGATAGATGCCGAGTTAGCAGAGAAACAAAGAGAAGCAGAAACATATATTGCCGGAATTAAAGAAGAAACAGAAAGAATTCGTAAAGAAAGAGAAAAATTGAGAGAACTTTGCCAAGCCAAACAAGAAACGGTGCAAAGTTTAGATACGAATAATAACAACCAGACAGCCGAAACAACATTTTACTATTCCTACGATTCAGATTCAGATGACACGTTCAGTGAAGCAAGCGAAATACCTACAACAAAAAGTGAAACACAACATACACTCCAAAAACATAATACGGCAAATCACAACATTCAGATTAACTACAGTCAACAGAAACACAATTACAGTGTCAGATGCTACTATTGTAATAGAACAGGCCACAAACAAATAAATTGCAGAATACGATATTATGACAGACGCCAACAAGATGCACAACGCAACAGACCAAAATATAGACAGATAAATAGAATAGCTTTTATGTCATCGTTTACAGAGGCCAGTAGAAGAACAGACATATTTACGTCAAAAATTAATAACAGATACGCAACAGCAATTAGGGACACACACTGCTCAACAGTGGCAGTACGTAACACATTCGTACAACACCACCAATACACAGGCAGAACACAACGTGTTCACAGCTCAAGAGGCAGCACATATGTTTGGCCAACAGCTATGGTCACCATAGCCACACCCTCAGCGTGTAAAACAGTTGAAGCAGCTGTTTTTAAAAACGGGCCATACGACGTGATATTAGGAAATATTAGAGGTGTGAAACAATTTAGAGTTGGAACTCGAGTGAACTACTTAGAACAACTAAGCCAACAACGCTCATCTTCAAGGAACGGATCTTACCAGAGACCACAGAGAAGCAACCCTTCACAAAGCCATGACCAACCAGTTGAAAGAATCCACCTACTAAACACATCAAGCTCGTTACCAACATTTAAGTCTAAAGTAAACGGACAGATAGTAAACGCAATTCGAGACACTGGTTGTTCAACAATAGCAGTAAAAGCCAAATTTGTTAAAACATGCCAATATACAGGCCAATATGTAAATGTGGAATTATTTGGCGGTATAATCGCAGAATACAAAACGGCATTGATCAATATTCAAACCCCATATCTAACTGGTCGCGTAATTGCTGTGGTCACTGACAATGGATCATATGATCTGATCATCGGAAACATAGTGAACAACGAAACTATTTCCCGAGTGGAAATCGACGATTGGGTACAAAGGGAAATAATTCAGATGGTCGAAACAAGAGAACAAGCAAGAAAAGCAAGAGAAAGCAACAAGAGTCATGAACCACCCGTCGACCTAAGTAGTCATCAAGCAGAAGACCAACATAACAACGCCATAGATAATACTGAGGCCAAAAACATTTGGGAACCAGAAAAATTTCAGTTAGCACAACAAGAAGACCCGTCACTAGAAAAGATATTTAGACTCGCCCGTAAACACTCAATCACTACATCGAGGTCATCAGAACACTCTTTCTTTATTAAGAATAACACGCTTCAAAGAAAATATAAAAGCAAAGGACAAGAAATAAACCAATTAGTAATCCCACAGAAATACAGACCACAAATTCTACACCATGCACACGACCTTACACTTGCAGGACACATGGGAAGAAAGAAAACAAAACAAAGAATTGAAACTACCTTCTACTGGCCGGGCATGGACAAAGACATCTCACAGTACGTGAAGTCATGTCAGACATGCAGGAATAGAGATACCACTAGACCACCCCAAGCCCCATTACAAACCACTGATTTAGCTAACAGACCATTCGAAAAAATAGCGATAGATATCATAGGACCACTGCCTACCCCATCAAAACGTGGTCACCGATACATCCTCACAATAGTCGACTTTGCAACACGTTGGCCAGAAGCCTTCCCACTAAAGACGATAACATCTGAGGATATAGCAGGCGCCCTACTCACGTTCTTCTCAAGAACCGGGTTCCCGGACACCATACTGTCAGATCGGGGCACACAATTTACCTCCGACTTAACGAGACAACTCACGAGTGTGCTGGGGATTAAGCAAGCATTCACGACGCCCTATCACCCTCAAAGCAATGGCGTGTGTGAACGACTAAACGGCACCATTAAATCGTTACTAGACAAAGTCTCTAAAGACAACCCAGAAAACTGGGATACCATGCTACCATGTATCCTATTCGCCTACCGAGAAATACCTCATTCTTCTACTGGATTTTCTCCATTCGAACTCGTCTACGGCGCCAACCCCAAAGGCCCCATGGATATACTTAGGACACTTCTCTACAAACAGAACATAGAACAAGAAACCAGAACAACATATGAAGCCATTGTCAATCTTAGAGAAAATATAATCAATGCATGCCAGGAAGCAAAGCTCGCGCTACAAGAAAAGGGAGAAATAGCAAGACACAGGGTGAACAGGAATAGAAAGCTACGCCAGTTCACAGTAGGGGAACAGGTCAGAATACTGTTACCTTCTAAGCACAACAAATTACAGCTTGCATGGCAGGGTCCATTCACAATCACAGCCAAAATTTCAAATGTAGATTACCAAGTCGAAATAAAAGGGAAGAAAAAAACGTTTCACACAAATATATTGAGCCCTTACACCTTAAGACCAGAAGAGCTTGAAATTAAACAAACGGCAACAATAAACTGCGCAGAGTTACACGAAGATGACACAGACTCGATCGGCAAAATATACACATTACCTACTAGCAAGGAAACATGGCAAGATATCAAAATCGGCAGAATGCCGCCAGAAATCGAAAAAGAAATCAAGGAAATATTAGAAAAATTTAAAGAGGTGCTATCCCCACAACCTGGTAAAACAGATACAATCGTCCATGATATCAAGTTGACTTCACTTAGAGCAACCAAAATGCCCGCATACAACATTCCCATACATCACAGAGAAAACGTACAAAACCAAATCCAAGAATTATTACAAGCTGGAATAATAGAACATTCCGACTCTTCATATGCTGCTCCTATTGTATTAGTAAAGAAAAAATCCCACGACCTTAGACTGTGTATTGATTACAGACAACTGAACAACATTACAATACCAGACGCAGAACCAATGCCAAATCCAGAAGACTTATTTGCTAAACTTAAACAGGCTAAATACTTTACAAAGCTTGACTTATCCAGGGGTTATTGGCAGATACCAATAAAAGAAGATGTGAGACACCTAACAGCCTTTATAACACCATTTGGCTTGTTCCAGTGGAAGTACATGAGTTTCGGGCTAATGAACGCACCGGCTACCTTCAACAGACTCATGCGAAAAATACTACAGGGTCGAGACGACCTCATATCCTACTTAGATGACATATGTCTGTTCCACAACACCTGGCAAGAGCATGTGAGAGGACTGGAAACGCTGCTGGAAATATTAAAGCAGCATGGACTCACTGCTAAACCTAGCAAAATAGAAATAGGAATGGAAGAGATAGAATTTTTAGGTCACTCCATTTCACAAGGTCAACAAAAGCCACTCCAACCTACAGTGAATAAAATACTGAACATAAACGTGCCGACATCAATTAAAGAGGTCCGTAGCTTGATCGGTCTGTGTAACTACTATAGGAAGTTTATACCCAATTTCGCCACCATCATAGAGCCACTAACGAATTTAACAAAAACGGACAAAAAGAATAAGAAACTACTGTGGACAGAAAAATGTGAAACAGCACTAAACAGGGTAAAACAAGCATTCGCATCGGAACCTATTCTCAGATTACCAAATACAGATCAACCCTTTATCCTCTGCACGGATGCCTCTTCGGTCGGTATAGGTGCATGTCTGTTACAAGAATTTAACAATGAACTCCACCCAGTTCAATACATTAGCCGAAAATTGTCGTCAGCTGAGAAAAACTACGCAGTCATTGAGAAAGAATGTCTGGCCATA